CGAAAAAGTTCAAAAAGCACCTAAACATGATTTTTGGACATATTGGAGTGTATTGGGTGGGTTCGTGGCAAAAACTCACTTCGCGACTCTTGCGGCGACCTTTTGTCAATTAATGCCGGTATTGCCACTCGTGGGTGCATTGTTTTTAACTGGAACGAAAAAGTTCAAAAAGTACCTAAACATGATTTTTGGACATATTGGAGTGTATTGGGTGCGTTCGTGGCAAAAACTCACTTCGCGACTCGCGCGGCGACCTTTTGTCAATTAATGCCGGTATTGCCACTCGTGGGTGCGTTGTTTTTAACCGGAACGAAAAAGTTCAAAAAGCACCAAAACATGATTTTTGGACATATTGGAGTGTATTGGGTGCGTTCGTGGCAAAAACTCACCTCGCGACTCGCGCGGCGAACTTTTGTCAATTAATACCGATATTGCCACACGTGGGTGCGATGTAATATACCGGAATTAAAAAGTTCAAAATGCACCTAAACATGATTTTTGGACATATTGGAGTGTATTGGGTGCGTTCGTGGCAAAAACTCACTTCGTGGTTCGCGCGACGCACTTTTGTTAATTAATGCCAATATTGGCATATGTTGGCACACGTGGGTGCGAAGTTTTTTCACCGGAATGGAAAAGTTCAAAAACCACCAAAACATGATTTTTGGACATATTGGAGTGTATTGGGTGCGTTCGTGGCAAAAAATCACTTCGTGATTCGTGCGGCCAACTTTTGTCAATTAATGCCAATATTGGCACACGTGGGCGCAATGTTTTCGACTGGAATGAAAAATTTCAGAAAGCACCAAAACTTGATTTTTGGACATAATTGAGTGTATCGGGTGCGTCCGAGGCAAAAACTCAATTCGTGGTTCGCGCAACGATCTTTTGTCAATTAATGCCAATACTGGCATATATTGGCACACGTGGGTGCGAAGTTTTTCACCGGAATGCAAAAGATCAAAAAGCACCAAAACATGATTTTTGGACATATTGGAGTGTATTGGGTGCGTTCGTGGCAAAAAATCACTTCGTGATTCGCGCGGCGAACTTTTGTCAATTAATGCCAATATTGGCATATACTGTCACACGTGGGGGCGAAGTTTTCGACCGGAATGCAAAAGTTCAAAAAGCACCAAAACATGATTTTTGGACATATTGGAGTGTATTGGGTGCGTTCGAGGCAAAAAATAACTTTGTAATTCGCGCGGCGAACTTTTGTCCATTAATGCCAATATTGGCACACGTTGGTGCGAAGTTTTTCACCGGAATGCAAAAGTTAAAAAACCACCAAAACATGATTTTTGGACATATTGGAGTGTATTGGGTGTGTTCGTGGCAAAAAATCACTTCGTGATTCGCGCGGCGAACTTTTCTCAATTAATGCCAATATTGGCATATAATGGCACACGTGGGGGCGAAGTTTTCGACCGGAATGCAAAAATTCAAAAAGCACCAAAACATGATTTTTGGACATATTGGAGTGTGTTGGGTGCGTTCGTGGAAAAAACTTACTTCGTGATTCACGCGGCGAACTTTTGTTAATTAATGCCAATATTGGCATATATTGGCACACGTGGGTGCGATGTTTTTCACCGGAATGCAAAAGTTCAAAAACTACCAAAACATGATTTTTGGATATATTGGAGTGTATTGGGTGCGTTCGTGGCAAAAAATAATTTTGTAATTCGCGCGGCGAACTTTTGTCCATTAATGCCAATATTGGCACACGTTGGTGCGAAGTTTTTCACCGGAATGCAAAAGTTCAAAAACCACCAAAACATGATTTTTGGACATATTGGAGTGTATTGGGTGCGTTCGTGGCAAAAAATCATTTCGTGATTTGCGCGGCGAACTTTTGTCAATTAATGTCAATATTGGCATATAATGGCACACGTGGGGGCGAAGTTTTCGACCGGAATGCAAAAGTTCAAAAAGCACCAAAACATGATTTTTGGACATATTGGAGTGTATTGGGTGCGTTCGAGGCAAAAAAATAACTTTGTAATTCGCGCGGCGAACTTTTGTCCATTAATGCCAATATTGGCACACGTTGGTGCGAAGTTTTTCACCGGAATGCAAAAGTTCAAAAACCACCAAAACATGATTTTTGGACATATTGGAGTGTATTGGGTGCGTTCGTGGCAAAAAATCATTTCGTGATTCGCGCGTCGAACTTTTGTCAATTAATGTCAATATTGGCATATAATGGCACACGTCGGGGCGAAGTTTTCGACCGGAATGCAAAAGTTCAAAAAGCACCAAAACATGATTTTTGGACATATTGGAGTGTATTGGGTGCGTTCGTGGAAAAAACTTACTTCGTGATTCACGCGGCGAACTTTTGTCAATTAATGCCAATATTGGCATATACTGGCACACGTGGGTGCGATGTTTTTCACCGGAATGCAAAAGTTAAAAAACCACTAAAACATGATTTTTGGACATATTAGAGTGTATTGGGACCGTTCGTGGCAAAAAATCATTTCGTGATTCGTGCCGCGAACTTTTGTCAATTAATGCCAATATTGGCATATATTGGCTCATGTGGGTGCGAAGTTTTCGACCGGAATGCAAAAGTTCAGAAAGCACCAAAACATGATTTTTGGACATATTGGAGTGTATTGGGTGCGTTCGTGGCAAAAAATAACTTTGTAATTCGCACGGCGAACTTTTGTCCATTAATGCCAATATTGGCACACGTTGGTGCGAAGTTTTTCACCGGAATGCAAAAGTTAAAAAACCACCAAAACATGATTTTTGGACATATTGGAGTGTATTGGGTGTGTTCGTGGCAAAAAAATCACTTCGTGATTCGCGCGGCGAACTTTTCTCAATTAATGCCAATATTGGCATATAATGGCACACGTGGGGGCGAAGTTTTCGACCGGAATGCAAAAATTCAAAAAGCACCAAAACATGATTTTTGGACATATTGGAGTGTGTTGGGTGCGTTCGTGGAAAAAACTTACTTCGTGATTCACGCGGCGAACTTTTGTTAATTAATGCCAATATTGGCATATATTGGCACACGTGGGTGCGATGTTTTTCACCGGAATGCAAAAGTTCAAAAACTACCAAAACATGATTTTTGGATATATTGGAGTGTATTGGGTGCGTTCGTGGCAAAAAATAACTTTGTAATTCGCGCGGCGAACTTTTGTCCATTAATGCCAATATTGGCACACGTTGGTGCGAAGTTTTTCACCGGAATGCAAAAGTTCAAAAACCACCAAAACATGATTTTTGGACATATTGGAGTGTATTGGGTGCGTTCGTGGCAAAAAATCATTTCGTGATTTGCGCGGCGAACTTTTGTCAATTAATGTCAATATTGGCATATAATGGCACACGTGGGGGCGAAGTTTTCGACCGGAATGCAAAAGTTCAAAAAGCACCAAAACATGATTTTTGGACATATTGGAGTGTATTGGGTGCGTTCGAGGCAAAAAAAATAACTTTGTAATTCGCGCGGCGAACTTTTGTCCATTAATGCCAATATTGGCACATGTTGGTGCGAAGTTTTTCACCGGAATGCAAAAGTTCAAAAACCACCAAAACATGATTTTTGGACATATTGGAGTGTATTGGGTGCGTTCGTGGCAAAAAATCATTTCGTGATTCGCGCGTCGAACTTTTGTCAATTAATGTCAATATTGGCATATAATGGCACACGTCGGGGCGAAGTTTTCGACCGGAATGCAAAAGTTCAAAAAGCACCAAAACATGATTTTTGGACATATTGGAGTGTATTGGGTGCGTTCGTGGAAAAAACTTACTTCGTGATTCACGCGGCGAACTTTTGTCAATTAATGCCAATATTGGCATATACTAGCACACGTGGGTGCGATGTTTTTCACCGGAATGCAAAAGTTAAAAAACCACTAAAACATGATTTTTGGACATATTAGAGGGTATTGGGACCGTTCGTGGCAAAAAATCACTTCGTGATTCGCGCCGCGAACTTTTGTCAATTAATGCCAATATTGGCATATATTGGCTCATGTGGGTGCGAAGTTTTCGACCGGAATGCAAAAGTTCAGAAAGCACCAAAACATGATTTTTGGACATATTGGAGTGTATTGGGTGCGTTCGTGGCAAAAAATAACTTTGTAATTCGCACGGCGAACTTTTGTCCATTAATGCCAATATTGGCACACGTTGGTGCGAAGTTTTTCACCGGAATGCAAAAGTTCAAAAACCACCAAAACATGATTTTGGAGTGTATTGGGTGCGTTCGTGGCAAAAAATTCGTGGCAAAAAAAAACTTCGTGATTCGCGCGGCGAACTTTTGTTAATTGATGCCAATACTGGCACACGTGTGTGTGATATTTTCGACCGGAATGAAAAAGTTAAAAAAGTACTAGAACATGATTTTTGGACATATTGGAGTGTATTGGGTGCGTTCGTGGTAAAAACTCACTTCGTGATTCGCGCCACGAACTTTTGTCAATTAATGCCAATATTGACATACGTGGGTGCGATATTTTTCACCGGAATGCAAAAGTTCAAAAACCACCAAAACATGATTTTTGGACATATTGGAGTATATTGGGACCGTTCGTGGCAACAAAAAAATCACTTCGTGATTCGCGCGGCAAACTTTTGTCAATTAATGCCAATATTGGCACACGTGGGTGCGATGTTTTTGACCGGAATGAAAAAGTTTAAAAAGTTTAAAAACATGATTTTTGGACATATTGGTGTGTATTGGGTGCTTTCCTGGCAAAAAATCACTTCGTAATTCGCGCGACGAACTATTGTTAATTAATGCTAATATTGGCACACATGGGTGCGATATTTTTCACCGGAATGAAAAATTCAAAATGCACCAAAATATGATTTTTGGACATATCGGGTGCATTCGTGGCAAAAAATCACTTAGTGATTCGCGCGTGAACTTTTGTCAATTGTTGAACTTTTATCAATTAATGCCAATACAGTATATAAATATGACTGGAGGCAGGTAAGCACCCAGTTAAGCACGACTGGGTGGCTAGTAAGAGCAAGTTTAATAGTATAGCCAACTGCTGGGTCCAGATCATCTACAACCAACTTAAAGCCAGTTGATACAATAGTTACCTATAAACATATACTACATAATTAATATCTGGTCCAACCTATCATACACACATGCACCTTGGATGCTGCAGCTGACTACAAATTTGTAGCCCGCTGCCCTTCTCTCTTCTTTTATCTTCTTGAAATGTGTTTATAGCTGGCTTATAGCCTGCTATTGTACCTGCTCTAGGAGAAAGTTGCACTTCCCTGAAGCTTTTAACATCCAAACAATCAAAGGTAACCATCAGCACAAGTGCAACAACGAAAAGAACTATCAACAAAGCTTACATGTTAACTCGGTAACGTCTATATTGTTGCTGCAATTTTGAGCCATTGAGTCGGTACTCAAATGCCAGACTGCATAAACAAAATGTATGTTGGCTGGATACTGAAATGGCAGAAGTCGATTATAGAGAAAGCAAACTGTCAATACTCCCTCCATTCCATAATATAAGGCAGCGTGCATATATACATGTCATTAACTAACACATATTTTCCACTTAAATATTATTATTTAAAACCTCCACCATCAAGATCTCTAATATTATTGGGTGCATGCATTCTATTTATTAGGGTAATCGAAACTATGAGGTGATAATAATTATTTCTTGGTCTTTGGGTTAAGGGTGGTTGTGCCTCATATTTTAAAATGGAGGGAGTACAATCTAGTAACACACTCTTCTTTGATCTTAGTGGAAAAAAAATATTGAGCAGAAAACAATGTAGTAGTTAATTATAAAATGGACAAAACGATTCCACGCCATGAAGATGACCATAACAGCGAGGCATTTCCATTGTGCATCAAATCAGCCAGTATATAAATATTAACAGAGAACATGAAAAAAGAAATAACTAAAGGTACACAAAGGATATAGGCTAGGTAATCTATCATACCACATGCAAGCCAATTAACAACAGAGACCATGTACTCTATCCTGGACAACAGAGGTATGTTTTCTCTCCAACTCATTCTCTCACAACCTCTTTCTCTCGCAAAGTAAATGTTCAGACTTTAATATGCAGCCAATTGTGAGAAGGGAGCACTGTTGTTGACCTTACTATATATTTGTGAAGGCAAGGATAATCTAGCCTTAATTAGTGGCATAAGGATAACCATGCCATCACAATATACTATGAACAAACAGTAGTTTTTTTATGCAGGAACTAGAAACTAATGATATAACACCTTGGACAATATGCATGGTCATCCAGGGACCAGTGCTTTGTAAACCCAGTATGCGTGGAATGAGATACATGGCACACAAAATTTGAGATCAGTCTAGCAAATTCAAGGGGGGTTCTCATGTTTGTGTCAATCAAATTTTAGCCAAAAGTGGATAACTATCAATTTCTTGAATATGCAAAAACTAAAATTGTAGACGCCAAATATGTTTCCTAAATTGAGTTTAAAAAATTATCCCATATGCAGAAAGAAGTTGATCAACAACCCAAAAATCCTTCGCTACAATCATGAAACATAACTTAAGCAAAGGAAATGTTCTAAATATATGTTCACTATTATTGACCAAATGTTCCTCTATAATTTCATTTAGCCTAAAAAATATATCTACAATACCATAATGACAATAGCTTACAAACAAAAAAAAATCAGGAAGCATGAACAACCATCAAGATCAACTGCACGCAACACATAATGATGGGAGCTCATCTACATACACACTTCATTCTAGTACTCATTAAAAAAAATGATATCAAAAGCACTGCAAGTAAATCTTAGTCTAGTAGCCCTATCTACAAAGTTAACCACCGGCAAAGCTTCAACGAACCCAATTGAAGACATGTCTGCACAAATGGAAGTGCAGTGCATTTTGTCAGAAACACGTTACAGATAATCGTATATGGATCTCCAGCTTAGGTTAGCGCAGCAAATAGAATAGAACAATAGTTAGAGTATACTTTTCCAAGAAGCAAAAAATGTACTTTCTTCTAGAAATCACCCATCAGGATATCTTAACTTTCTGAGACATACCAGTATTATGTGAGACCCCCAAATCTGGACAGTATGTGCAGGCACATCTCCTGAGTTGTGCCCTGCTGCCAGGTTCTAGTAGGTGTGCTGTGCTAAACTGATGGGTGTGAACTTATTCAAACAAGATATGAAAAATAACTAAAAATGGTTTCATTTATGCAAACAAAGATACGAAAACTAACTAAAAATGGTTTCATTTATAATATAATCACTATAGATAGACTTCAAGATTTAATTTCTTGACAAAATTGACAGCTACTGAAACAGTATCATCTGGTCAGAAATACTACACGGTGAACAGTACACTAACTTTTACCAATTAGATGTGTAGAATTGACTTCTTTTTCCCCAAATATGTTAAATTTATGCACTTCGCTGGAAGGAAGCTCAAAATATGTCAACGTTATCAATCATGCGGTACTTTAAATGGAACCTTTTGCATCAAATTGAAGGGAGGAGTATGAAATAATGTACTGTTCTCCCAAATATGATAAGTATTTTTTTGAAAGGGAAAATTGCAATATGATATATTGTAAGAAACAATTAATTACCTGTGTAATGGAACTTTTGATTCCAACAATGTACTGTTCTCCCGAATATGCGTGCCTTCTTCTTTGAACCACACATCGATATCCTAATCACCATTGCTTAGTTACCAACTTAAAAGATTATAAAAGGAAAGAACACCGCAATAATCTAATATAATATTATTATTCTAATTGATAAACAGACCTCTATGGTTCTTCCATATAAGTATCATAGGAAGGTAGCTGGTGAAAATAACTCCGGGCAACTAAGCAAAATGTCATCATATGGAGGTAGTAAAAATGGTTATCCAGAGACAAGTATTTTGCGGACCTTGTACTTATGTGGCACAGAAAATCCTAGATTACTCTAGAAAATTGAATACCCACAGGTACGCAGTGATTAAACAAATAAGATTAGCAAGTACCAATCATTGGACTGCTTCATTTATGTAATTTCTGCATTCTAATTCTCAAACTTGTCATGTCACCTAGAAACAAGCATGTTCTACTCTCTGATATTGTCATGAAAAAAATTGATCTCATCCTTTCTATTGCTTCTGTCCAACTTCTATATGCCACTTCTTTCTTCTTGCTAAAGAGGAGGGGAGATCAAGAGGCAGCAGAGGCAGCGGAGCATGGAGTAGTCGCCTCTCCAATTCCAATCTACAAATGCTGAGCCATGCATACCTGATTACCTTCAAATAAATTCTAGCATGATCGTCAATCTACAGAAGGACAGCCAGCTTGTGCAAATTGCCAAAGTAGATGTTATCATATTACAGGACCTCAAAAATTGACCAATATAGCATCAAACACAGCTAGCAAACATTCAATGGAGAAGTCATGAGTGGTGCGAATTTGCTAGTAGTAACTAGTAAGCAACTATCATAATCGAAAGCATTCATTTGTTGGTTGATAAATACAGTTGAAGAGATGTCCACAAAATAAGAAGACAATGTATGCAGACAGGCTTGGGCAGGCAATCGATTGAGAAACAGACATGCTGTCGATGGAAAGACCTTGCAACAGTAACCGCAACAGCTTGTGTTTCTTCAGGAGGAGAAAAAGAGGACTTCAGTTCACAATCAATTGGTTTGATGGCGGTAAGGATGCAGCAACAATCACACTTAGAAAGACCATACGCTTCTAATCAGAGATTTTATTTTCGTTGACCAAAAAAAATCATCTTTGTTAGCTTTGACACACTGAACATAAAGAAGGTTGATGAATGAGAATTTTGATTAATCCACTTGTAAAGTAAACAAATGTAAAGCGACAAGGCCAAGAGAAAAAGAAGAGACAGCTTGGAGCAGGTAAAAAGCTAGCACGCTGGAATGCATGTACGTACTGAGGAAGTCGACGACAAGCACATTGGAGCAGTGGCCGGTCGAAGAAGCACAGAGGCGACCATGCTGTGGTGAACGGCTTGGCCACTCCGTCGATGGCAACGAGGGTGCAGTCATCAGAGAGTCCCCGGAGCTGGAGATGGCCACGGAGCATTCCTTGGGTGCAACAGTGAAAGGAAGCGCCACCACCCAGTGCCCCTCATCCTCGTATGCCCCACCACTATCGCGTGCTGCCGTTGTCCATGATTTACCTTACTCAGATTCCCAGGTCAGGTGGCCGTGGCAGCGCTCCTTCCGCAGAGTCCGTTGTGACTGGATCTGGGCCAGGTCCAGCATTGTCCGGATTTGGGGCGGCGCCATCTCTGCCGGCTCAGTGCGGCTAGAGGAGGAGGGGAGGGATGCAGGGCAGCGGCCAGGTTCAGCATAGGGAGGTGCCATGCGGGGTTGGAGATGGGGTAGGCAGTGGAGGAGATAAGTTTTGGATGCCTTTTTGCAACATTGTCCTCATACATTTTACAATTACAGCGCTATCCCTAGAACTGAAATTTTCTAAACTTCACATTATATTTCACATAAGGATAATGGTATTTTTGGCAAAATTTCAAATGAGATGTAGGTAGTGGGTGGACTGTTTCACTATTTTAGAAAATATCAAAGCCTTTTGTGCAAAACATGAAGGACTATGCATGTCTGAGATGCAAAACCCCAACAGCCCATGCCCAGTTGCCCATACCGGACATGAAGCAGCACCCAATGCCTGATAAACAGTGCGATGACTGTCCAACCGCAGACTACCTGTTCCTCTGGCCCAATCAGGAAGCACTGTTGCACAAAAAACAACGTGGCAGCCAACCTGAGAAGCCAAAAAAAATTGAAAAAATGGAGAAAAAGGATGGGGGTAGGGTTGTTATCAGTTGATGATGTTTGCATAGATGGTCTTTGAAACAAATCAAAACACACATGGTCACCAATTCAGATTTTCCTGGTTCTCCCAGTGGCTTGTTTTCATGGTAGCTATTAATTACAAGAATTAAGAACTAGTTAAATGGTTACTCCTTTTTTTTATTATTATGCTTCGTATGTATTGGTAGAACAAGCAATTTTTTCTGTGAAAATATTGATCACATTCTTCATTGCTCCTTTTCCAATATTTGATGGAATCAAACACCTACCTCTACACAGATATATTCTCTTCCGTAAAGTATTATAACACTAAAGTGTTTTTTTTCTGCTGTGAAGCTACAGCTTTAGGTTTCAGCCTTCTATTTATAGTAGTACAGCATAATTAAGGTCAATTGCTGTGACAACCAACATATTATAGCTTGAAAACCAATTTGACTACCATCCTGAATAGCAACATGCTACAGACTATTATAAAATGTGATTGGCTACCGCTACTACCTGTCCTGGACTAAGCAGGGTATAACTTACTAGCCAAGCTAGACAACTAAGGTGAGATGTGTGCTGACAAAAGCTGACAGAGGGATTATTTGCTATCAATATTTGCTGCCTGCCCAGACAACTTATGCTTAGTCTTGTTTTCGTTGTTCTGGTTCCTACAGGTAGCACTTTCATTTCACATAGTACATGATAAAGCAGTTATATGACTAGTCATGGGAGATGGAAATATAAAGAAAAATGATAAATGTCATTTTAGAGCCCAGCAGTCAAAATAAGTTCACTTTAACCATAATTATTGTTTTACAATATAGGTTTTGGGCATATGAAAATGACAGCCAAATATGTTCTCCTTCCATCCCAAAATGTAGCTATTTTGGGCTACGAAACAGGACAGAGCTGAGCCAGAAATAGCTACATTTGGGGACAGAGGGAGTACAAGTTAAACAAAAGCTTTCTTAATTATTACACTTATGCAACTAATTTTGGATTTAAGCAAAAGCATTAAGCGTGTATTTGTTTTGGGGATGAGGTGGGATGGATTAGACTCATCCCTGTTTTTTTGGATGGATGGTCCCATTATTTGTTTGGCGCAAGGGATGGTGATCTTTGAGGGATGGATGGTCCCATTATCTGTTTGGCGCAAGGGATAGAGTGATCTTTGAGGGATGGAGGGTGTGGCCCGTGTGTCAATGACATAGAGGAAGTGGGTTGGATTGGTACACCAGTTTTTGAGCTGTGAAGCTGACCCGGATCTTGGGGGAATATTCCCTTCGGAGATCAACCCATCCCACTTATCCCCAAATCAAACGCCCTGAAAAATGGGTTTGACCAAACCCGACCCATCCCATCCATTAAACCATTTGCATGATAAGTGATTAAAGTTATGCCTTATTGACTTTGGAAAGTCTGAAACAAAATTTATTCGTGATTGGATGGTGGACCTAGTACTAAATCAGCAAATTTACAACACAATGCTTAGTACACTTGTGTACATTGCACATACAAAATGTGTTCACTGCTTTTTATCATCATAGTCTCTGCACAATGTTGTTACAACACTGCTGCCACGATAACCCTGGAGAAAAATAATAAGGCATGGAAAACATTCCATGACTTTCTGGGTCCATTTTGCAAACAAGCAACAAATTTATCAGTTGTTTTAGAAAATTTATTTTAAGTAGGAAAAGGGTCCATTTTGCTCCCTACTGGGTCGATGCACTTAGCCCCCTAAATTACTGAATAAGGCTCACATTCCTAACGGTATTCCACTTTATTGGTTCTCTTTATTCATGATATAATTTAAGTTGAAATTTTCCAGGGTGATAGATAACATTATACCTTACGTCTCAACATTTTTTGGTATTGTTTATCATTGTTCGCATATGTTGGAGGCGCATAAGACTGATGTAAATATCGATAGTTAAAACTGCACGCAAACTGTCATGTAAATTTTGAAAATATTTTGTAACATAGGCTATGTCATCACCACCTCCGGTTCTAAAAAAAATAGATTTAAAATGACTTATATACAGAGTAATATTGTAACTTCATAAGCGATTAAAGTTAGCTGTTCTAATCAGATTGTGGGGTAAAGTGAGCCAAAAAAAATATTTTAGGGGCTAAGTGCGCCTTCAAAATAGTTTGAGGGAGTAAGATAGACTTTTTCTTTAAAGTGGCGATCCATAACCTTATACATGTTCATATTGTAAAATCCCCTAGCGTACAGATGCCTACTTTGATTTGCAATTTGCAAAATAGCACTTCTGACTTCTGAGTAAAGAAGCTCTATGATATGATACCAAAACTAAAATCAACTAACTTAAATAAACCTACTTGTTTATGATGGATTTTATTTCATATCTCCTCAGTTGTTATCCCTGCAGTTAGTGCCCCCACCAACCCCTACATCGTTTTCACACAACAAACATCTTAGCCATGAATCAGCGAAACCATTCCAATAGTTGGCTGCACCGATTAGTCACTTTATCACCGCTGATGGCCAACTATTATCCCTCTGCAAGATACTGTGCTACATGTGATCATCAACCACCATTTTCACAGGTGCACCACCAGAAGGGGGTTCCATCAGCAACATCTCATAGAGGCTATTGACACTGCCATATGGCCATATTATGGTCACAACTAACTAGGCAAAAAAAATGTTAAGGGACTATGGACATCATCAGTATCAGCAAAGCAAAATTGTCATGTGGCATTTTGCAAACTAGAATTCATGTTCGCATCCACCACAGGACCATCATAACAACGGCATTTGGAAGCATACAAATTTAAGCAATAGCACATAATTTTTTTCCTGTAGTTTAAACAACAGAAGAATGGGAGAGTAAAAACTAAAAAACAAATGGAAAAGGGAACAGGATACAATCAATAAAAGCAGAAAGAACTAAATTCTGCTAAAGTTTTAGCATACCTCCAGAGAAGTTATATTTCATGCGAACTATGTAATTACCACCATCACTCATCATCCTTATCTTTTCCACCAGAGATGTCTTTGAATTCAGGGTTTTCATTCTTTGTCTGCTTCTTTGAATTCCTCTTGCTATACTTTCTCTTATATCGATCCACCAAGTCATTCTGCTTCTTAGTCACAAGATGACCTTTCCTTTTACCTTTCATACTCTCCTTGACATGTTTACCATCCACATACTCTAGCGCAAGAACAATAGTGACTGAGGGATCCAATCGCCGCCTAGAAGGCCTCCTGATCCGACACAGTGGTTCTACTCCAGCTTCATCATCATCAAGCTGATCCATCATATTGGTAACACAAAGTTCCTGATCTCCATAAAAATTCTTCCCACCAATCACACTTTTGTGACCCTTGCACTGCTCGGCTGAGTCACCACCAGATGTGTTCCCGGCACGCGAAAACCTCTGAGACCCATTCATCGCCAGATGTAGCTGCAACGCCAACTCTTCATCCGGCAAATCTGGTTTACCACCAACCGTCCTCTGAGATCCCCTACCACCAGCAGCAGAGACCAACGCTTCCTTCGCACGCTTGAAAGCCAGCTTCATTTCCATAGCCTTCCTCACAGCATTCTCTTTTGATTCAGCCACGATATCCCCCTTCCTCGGCTCCCTGGCGACTGCCTGCAGCATATGCACGGAAGAGGCGCCCCCATTTTTTCCACCCGGCTTGACGGTCGGGCAGCAATCGACGCAGATGAAATTCTCCACATCGATGGGCTGGATTAGGGCGGCGCGATGCTCACCTGCGATACAGTAGGGGTGGACGCAGCGGTTGCAGCATCGGCAAGTGACAGAGGAGTCCTCGGGCGGGAGGTTGTCGAGGGAGAGGCAGTAGGAGCAAACTGCAGCGGAGCGGACGAGGGAGAGGCATTCCGTGCAGAGGAGGACGACGCGCCAGAGGGACCGGAGGGGGCGGACCGGTCGGCGCTTGGCCCCCGGCGGCGCCGGCGGGAAGCGCACACCGCAGCAGTGGCAGAGGTTGAGGTTGGGCTGGCTGTGCGGGGGAGCAGGAGGATGCAGGGACGCGCGGGGAGCAGCAGCGCCGCGGCGAGGGCGGTGCTTCGAGAGGAGGCGGGATGGCGGGGAGGGGTGGCCGGCGTCGGGGGTGGTGATGTTAGGTTCTTCTTGCACCATGAGTAACCTAGGGTTTGGACTTCGGAGTGAGCGGTGGGGATTTCGGCCTCTGGAAACGGTCTGCTTGGGCCTATCGCCTATGAGCGAGTGTGATGGACAACCTTCCCCTGTATTTCAACCATAAACAATTATACTTATCAGCTAAAATTTAAATTTTCAATCTTAAATTTAGAGTTGATTTTAAGGTACTTTCATTAAAATTTATTTTTAGTATTTACTTTTAAATCATTAAAAACCTGATTTTTTTATATATAATAATTAATCACCCATTAATTAAATATCTAGTAAATCAATGTTGGGATTTTGAAGACTAGGATGAACGCTGAGGAATACAATGTCCAGATATGGACGCTGTTAGTCAAATTATTCAGACCTTGACACTATAGACAATGACGTCCAACATCCGTGTGGCTGCATCGGTCGATCAAAAGGAAAAATAAAAAAAGAAAATGAGAAGAGGAACGAGTCGCTAGCTTATTAAGACTCGTTTTCAGCGAACCCTCTTGCCCGCCGCCGTTGCCCTCCACGCCCGGAATAAGGTGGCCCAGCCGCTGCCGCTACGAGGGCGCCGGGCGCGCTTTGGTCGCCGTGGCCCTCATTCTCGGCTACGTTGCCTGCCCGCCCGTCTACTCCCTTTATAGCACTGCCTGCTGCCCCATCCCTACAGGTCTTCTCTACCGTCCACCTTAGCTAACTTCATATATATCTTTGATTTATCCTGATAGATGTGCATCTTGTTACTGTTTTTTTATTTTTTGATAATGTGGGTTAAAGAAACACATGAATACTTATATTAGATTTGTCATGGGAGTTGTTTGTGAAATACTGAATTGGTGCCTACATTTTTGCATAGACCATCTTTGCGTTGGTAATATAATTTCTCAGTATTTCACACCGATTGCAGCTTAAGAAAATGAATGACAGTGACCAGTTCAGTGATTTACTATGGATACCTCACGGCCAGCACAAAATATCTTCTATTTCAGAAAATGTGAGTATTTTTTCAATGTGCTGTGTTGAAATCTGTTTTTGAGCTCATATGTTAATGTTGTTCTCCATGAGTAATTGCTTTATATTTTGATACGGCCTAGTATTTCCATGAATATATGGCATCATCATCTTGAAATTCCTTACCACCCACTGTGCCAATCGGCTCTAAAAAATATTGGATTTTTTCAAATTGCAAAGATGAAGGCTATTAATGTCGACAAATATTTGATATCATCTTTAGTTGAACGTTGGTGACCTGAGACAAATAGCTTTCACCTACCTGTAGGGGAGATGACAATTACTTTGCAAGATATTAGCTGTCTGTGGGGTATGCCTATCCATGGAAAACCAATTGTGGGCCAATCTAATGGACATTGGTGTGATATGATCGAGAGGTATCTAGGCATTCCACCGTTCCACCGGAAGATCAATAGATGAAGAAGAAAAAGAGAAAAAATGCAGATGATACATTTTCGGTGAGTTACTCGCGATACTTGATTAATTTGAGCAAATTGCGTGATGGCTTTCAAGTAATGCCAGCTATCCCAACTCAGCGTGAGATTGATTGGCATACTAGAGCACTTATCCTAGAAATTCTTGGCTGCATTGTTTTCACTGATGCATCTGGAGATAGTGTGCCTGCTATATACCTCCAATATTTGGATAATTAAGAAGACCAAACTAAATACAATTGGGGAGCAGTTGTACTTGCAGTGTTGTATAGACAATTGAGCATTGGTGCCGAGATGGCAAGATTAGAAATATTTGGTCCTATGTTACTATTATAGTTGTGGTCGTGGTCACGTTTGCCAGTAGGCCATCCAAATAATATAGTACATAATACAATCGAAGTGGGGGACCAAGAAGGTCAACAAGAGTTAGATGATTCGTCTATATTTGGAGCAAAGTGGTGTTGTTTACATAAATTCAGCAACCCACATAATACTGGAAACATTTTTATGCACTTCTTTTGTGTCATCACTTAGTGTTAGTGTTGGTATTTCTTAACGACATAACTAGAAATATAATTCCCAGCAATGGCGCAGAAACACTTATGGTATATTATGGTTACAGAGTTCATCCGCAAGCGCACGGATATACCATTGTAGCATTTCACCCGAGAGTATTCCAAGGGTATCGTATTTATTTTATCCCGTGGGAAGATCATGTAGAGAGAACTCAACTTATAATTTATATATTACTTGTGATAATCATATTCTAAGCAGGGGTTAAGATAATCCAAGGGTAGAGTGACACACAAGCATTTCTACTCATCCTCATAATAATTTATCTAAGCTAGGTGGAAAGAAAAGAGAAAGGAAATATATTCATATACTTCTAATATACATAGTATACATATATTCTAGTTAACTGATATACTAGCTAATACCCTCTATCCAATGCCCTCCTGGTACTTCGAGAAGCCACCCCTGACTGCCGAGTTCCTTACGACAGCCCATCATGATCATCCAACCGGGGCTAAATACGGAGGAATACCCTCCCTAGGAAATTAACTTAGGATTATATATAGGCGCGGAGGAATACCCGTACTGAGCTGTCATCATCAGCGGCCCACCTCTCATCCGCAATATATAACCCCAAATAATGATATCCCGTAATCTAGACACCATGTCTAAACTACCAGATACTACTCTAATATCATCTTCATGACATAGAGTAATTGCATAAGCAAACACTATACCCGCACCAAAGCATCTCCCAGATAAGCTAGCCGTATATTCAGTATAACATGAACATAATGTAAAGTAGGTACTCATATACTCGGAGAGTATTTCAATACCATAAATGTATATAGAAGAGTATTCTAATAAAAGTACAAAACTTACAAAAGAGGAAAGGAAAGCTGCTAGAGCAATACCCGAACTCTTCCGAAGACTTCCGGACTCCTGATTCCTATTCTAATTCTATTCCACCAGCTAGATACTACTAAACTAAACTTGAGAGAAATGAGAGAGCTCTTGCTTGAGGTGTGTGTGTGAAGTGAGAAGAGGAGCTCCTTTTATAGGCAGGTAATGACGGTTGTGACGGTTGGAATGGTCGGTAATACCCTCCAACCGCCATTGGGGATCAATCCCAGCCGTCCATCCAAACCCTGCATCCGTCGGCGCCACGGGAGGTTCGGCCGAACCTCCTAGTTCGACCGAACCTGGGGCTGGCCCAACCTGGCCCATATTCGGCAGGTGGCCTCCTCTGTTGTTCTCCTTCGTAGACTTGTGAATTTTGGCCCATTGTGTCGTGTCAATTCTGAGTTCTTGGCCCATTCATACATAAGTCTATCTCTCGACGTCGTAAGATTGATTTATCGTTTGAGTTGATGTCAATTCTCCTCCACTTTATTGTCATTCTCTGCAAAAGGTTAGTAAACCTAATACTAGTGGAATATTATTGTTCTCACATATTTATGCATTGCAAGCATCACTAGTTCTCCTCTATTTTGGTAATATTGACAGTCGAAACTTATAGATAACGACCGTCAACAGTTAGATTCCTACGAAACATGTTGTATGAGCTTATCTTTATATGTGAACATTATGCAGGCATCGAGTACTATCGAAACCAAATTGACTTGATTTGAGAAGGTGCTATAGAATGGCAGCCATATAATGGTCTTATAGAGCAAATGCCCACCCAAGTTCAGAATGATCGTGCTTGGTGGTTTGCTAGAGTTCCACTCATATATTTTTGGGTAGTGGAGTTCCATTATCCAGATAGGGTAATGAGACAGTTTGGAAGAAAACAAATGATTCCACCACCTCATCCGCATGGAGAGGCTGAGCTTCGTAGGCTGTGGAAAGTGAAGCATTTATGAGGGAAGGCTTGTGATTGGAAGAAATTCCATGCCAAATATGTTGAACAATATGATGGGGCTGATGCCATAATTGTTCAAGAGCATCATCCTTTCGATCCAACTAGCTTGACGGATTATAGTCGTTGGTTCCAAGAAAATAGTATGTACACTGTGTTTTCTGATTCCCAGTACTTGGGAGGTCTTGAGAACTCCATCCCATTTCCTCAAGACAATATAGAGTGGACTGGGTATATGCCTAGTGGTCCACCACTAGCTCGCATTGTAAGTTATTGATGTCAACTAAGTACTATGCATATTGCAGAGACAAACAAGTATTGATATATTTCTTTGTAAATGTAGGGATTACGTGATATTAAAAATGCAGCATGGGACATAAAATGTTGTGTTACTAATGGGTGCAAGAAGACAGGCAAATCTATATTGAAGACATGCCAAGGGAATTTAAGGGACCAACTTGGAGCCTAAGTTACAAAACATGCTTTCTGAGGCTGGATTGCCCATAGATATTGAACGAATTTTGTCTGATGATGAATCGAGTACTACTTGCATGCCAAGTCCTCCACGGGATAATGCTATTAATGTATTTGATGATTAGATGTTTTTAGGAAGAGGTTTCAGCAAATATATGAATCTGGGTCTAGAAGTTAGAGATGAAGTCCTCACAACACAACGTACAAGCTATGCATATAGAGAAGGACCATCTATTCAGGTGGTTGATTGGACCAAAACTGGGAGTACTCTTATGTTCAACAACACAAATGTTCGTTAGACTAATGATCAGATTAAGAGACCACTATATAACTTTAAGTTCGTACTGGTTTCATGTGTCAATGAATTACTCAAGCATTTGATGTATTTTAATACTACCTCCATATTTTAATGTATGACGCCGTTGACTTTTTGTCTAACGTTTGAACATTCTTCTTATTCAAAAAATTTATGTAATTATTATTTATTTTATTATGACTTGATTCGTCATCAAATATTTTTTAAGCATGACATAAATATTTTCATATTTGCAAAAAAAATTGAATAAAATGAATGGTCAAACGGGTCGAAAAGTTAACAACGTCATATATTAAAATACGGAGGGAGTATATGTATGTGCCTTCATTTTTTTTCTGCAATGGTAAGATACACTGTATTCTTTGGAACTGCAACGGTGTATGCCATCCATGTGAATAGAAAAATATGCCATCCATGTGAAATAGAACGTATGCCATCCATGTAAAAAAAATTGACTCTATCACCAAATCAGAACA